TGTACATTTCTCCACAAGAAACTACTTGATATTTATGACAGTAAAGAGCATTTGTATTGCGCATATTCTCACTCAACAGCAAGTTCTATGCTTTTTGTGGTCTGTATTATTACCCAAAAGACCCTGAAACACGTGGAAGCACTCTCAGCTTCCCGGGAATGATTTTGCGTTAAGATTTTTTCTGTCTATAGTCAGGTAATCATTTCCATGTGAGTGAAATTTGTGTAAAGTACCTTTCCCAAGGACACAACATCGGGCTCCTGACGTGGTTTGAACACACGGCCTAACAACCTACTAAATTATTATGTTGCAAGGAACTTTGTATTTTTAACGAAAAGTTAGGATCTCAAATTTGAAATTGTGGGTCTGCACAATTTCATAATACACTTAACAGATGAGATCACCAAACCACTATGTGCAAATACAAAAACTAAGGCACACAGATCATGCCAGATAGGGGGTGGGGGAGAAGCAGTCAGAGGGCTCTTAAGGCCTAGAGGTTAAAGTGTTCGCCTCTCATTCAAAGGCCCGGGGTTCGAATCCGCGTTGTAAAGGAAAAATTTTCTTCTCTAAATTTCCTCCTTTCACCTCCTTTTCTTCTCTCTAGCAATGTTCTATCATCTGCTGTCGTCCCCTCCCCCCTCACCTACTTTGCCCCCTCCTCTGGGCTCCTGACTTTCTGCAGCCTTTCTACTGCTTCTCCTTGGCCCCTTCTTACTGCTGTCTGTCAGCCACACCCCGACCTTTTAGTAGGAAAGATCTACACCTAGCCTTTTCGAACAAGGGCGAAAAATCCCAGAGGTCCCATTTGCAAGTTGAGCATGTTAAAGATCCCTTGGTGGTCTAAAATTGATAAGAGTAGGCTTCGGGTGCCACTCGGGAAAAATTCGAAATTTCTTACCAACTGAAAATGTTTAATGTGTGGCGTGTGCTGGTATGACCTTATTATGCAGTTGTAAGCGTGGTAAAACACTCTCCTCTCCCCCCTCTAAAAAAAAGAAAGATGTAGTGAATGATTGGCCTTAACCTTGTGGTCCACGAGTTCCTCCAGACGGGCAAGGACCAGCACGAGGTGTTGGAAACCATGTTCAAGAAGCTCGAGTCTCTCTACGCCAGCACTGCTAAGTACTTCGCCTTTGACCCCAAGAAGTACACCATGGAGGAGTTCTTTGGAGACCTCAAGAACTTCAAGGATGGCCTCCAGGTGGGTTTGTTTGAGTGAAAGAGAAGCTCATTGATATGAGAATGTTTGTTTTGTGAACAGGAAAAGCTAGACAGACTGAATGAAACTGTAGAGGTGTAGCAGCAAAGGAGGACTTTATATCTCCAAGGGAGGTAAACCTACTATGCCAGGGGCTGGGCCCTCTTTTGGTATGGAATATAAAAGTGACACTAAACTGGTCATTAAATCAAAACAAGTGAACTGTTTTGATGGTTCTTCATCTAATGAATGAACTCCTGGTAGAAGAGACTTGTTTTTGGCAGAGGAATGTGTCCGGAGCCACTGGCAGCGGCTCATTGGCTTAGGGGTTCTGAGTGTGAGCTTCTGAAAATTTACATTTTTTGTACTTTTAAGCAATGTTTTTCAGTAAAATCCACAGAGAAATGTGTTTTTAAATGGACATAAAAGGCATTGTGCCAAAAAACAATATGATAAAAATTGCCAAAACTGGCGAAAAAATGCCAGTTTCTTAGATTTCATTATTTTGACGAGCACCTGATTTTGCCACGATGCCTCGCCTATGTATTTATTGTAAAACAGTGCATTTTTCGCATGACTCACTTTTTGAAAATGTTTCTTTTCTAATGTGAGTTTTGGCCATGGTTTTTTTTACAGAAAGCTTTGAAGGAGAATGCCAAGTTACGAGAGACACAGGAAAAGATAAGGAGAGCGAAAGAAGCCAAGGAAAAGGCCGAGAGGGAGAAGAAGGAGAAGAAGCTCAGACAGGCAGCCATTTTGGACATGACAAACAGTGAGTGGGTCGTTTTGAACAGATGTTTGTGGTCTGCTTGTGGTTTCTCTTTCATTTTAATTGCATTTACCAATTCCAATTCTTTTTATCTTTCTTTTACTAGCCTGTCATCACTGTCTATCAAATTGTGTATTTGTGTTATTGTTGTAATTGTCGTTTGTTATCTTTTTGGGTTTTTGTTTTTTTCTTTCTTCTTTTCTTTTGATGGATGGTTGGCGGATGCTCTGGTGTGGTTTGCTCTTTCTTTCCTATCAAACATGTATCGTCCTTGTCTCTTCTCCTTCTTTCTTATGTTTGTTGCTCTCTTGAAGCACCTCTAATCTTTGGCACTTATTTGACCTTATTGTGTTGCAAGTGCTGTAAAAATTCTTATTCAACCTAAAAACTAAGACCAGTCTTTCCTGCTCTGACGTCTGACTGATGAAATGGTCAGGCTCTTCACCTGTGCGTGCAGAAGGTTTGAGTTTGATTCTCGCTTAGGGAAATTTATTGTTTCAAGCAACTCATTCAGTTAGTTGGGATGCTGTCACCCACTCAGGCCAGTTGGCTCTGAAGGTCAGGATTTGAGCTGCTGGCTTTCTAAATGATTTGAATTATGTTGATGGGGGAAGTATAACAGTTGCAATCAGTATTTTGTATGCACCTATCACCTCCCTTCTCTCTCTTTCTCTTTATCTCTCTGTCACTCCTACCTCTCCCCTTTCTGTCACCCGTACCTCTCCCCTCTCTGTCTCTCTCCCTTGCTCTCTCTTTGTTTCACTCTCTCACTACTCTTTCTCTCCCCCCTGCCTCTTATTCCCTCTCTCTTTCCCTCTCTTTCACTCTCTCCTTCCTTCCCTCCCTCTCTCTTTCTCTCTACTTCCCCCTCCTCTCTCTTTCTTCCCTCTCACTCCTACCTCTCCCTTCTCACTCCTACCTCTCTGCCTCTCTGTCTGCTTCTCTGTTTCACTACTCTCACTACTCTCCCTCTCCCCCTGTCTATGTCTGTTTCTCTCTCTCACGACTCAACTCTCTCTCTCTTTCCTCAGACGACAACCAGGAAGGTGTCATGGATAACTTGTTAGAAGCCTTGAAGACAGGCTCAGCCTTCAACGTGAACCGGGAGAAGCGAGAGGGCAAACGACGGACGCCGCGGGCTGCAGGAGGTGGGTACTCCTTAGGGCCATGAATAGATTTGATCTTTTGTCGCTTTCCTTGTGATATGTGCACAGTGATTGGTCACGATATTTCCTTCTATCAAACATTAAGTGCGGGGGGTTGGCGGGTGCTCTGTCTGTCTGGGTTTTTTTTTCCGCTCTTTCTTTCCTATCAAGTATCCTTCGTCCTCATCTCTCCTTCTTGTTTTTTGTGTCAATTTTTCTCTTCTTACACCCTTAATCTTCGGCACTTATATGACCTAATTGTGTAGCAAGTGTTGTAAAACTCTTACTAAAACTAAAAGACATCCAGTCTTTTGCTCATCGTGTCTCTCATGGTCCTTCAAAACATATTTTATAAAAAAATCAAGCTCATAATTCTGCTTCTGTTTTTTTTGCTACAGGGTAAGTTTATATTTGACAATGAAAACAATGTGGTTTCAAGTTTTTATATGTTGTATTTTTTATGTGGTCAATTCTTCTTTCTAAGTTCTTTTTTGTTTTGTTTGTTGACCTTACTGATGTTGGAGAAGAGTTTACATGAATAGAAGAAAAATGTTTTGAATAAAGGGATATAGTCTGTGCAGTTTTGGTAGTGACAGTATTTATCATATAATAGTAACATTTATTCGTCATGAAATAGTAACATAGTAACTGTGTGTTTCTGTTGACTGGGGGTTTGGACAAATCTAGTTGCCTCTTGTCCTAATCAGTGGCATACACTTTATGTTGTAAGGTATAAACTGTATTTCTTAGCACACGCTTATCATATTCTTTGGTGTTTTATTGTATGTCAGATAGATAGAACATGTTCTTGAATAATCCAGCTTACGAGGTGATGTAAACACTTAAATGTAGTATTTCATGTTTTTAAAATTTTGTAAAAGTCTTTGTTCAAAATTGTATCTACCCTTTTGGTATTTTTGTAGAGAATACTTTGTTCTTCATTGCAAGTACATTACCCCCTCCCCCCCAAAACCCCCCCCCTCAGTTTTCCAAAGATGTTATGACATATCTACAATTGTATTTATGTGGCAATTGACGCAGATGATATTTTTTATCTGTGCTTACTGCGCTTCCTAAATTATTGTGTTGCCAGGAACTTTGTATTTTGTACAAGCTAGGCTCTAATCACGGCTCTCCGCAGTTTCATAACGCTAGAGCTGCACACCAACTGTATGCGGTTTGTTTGTCTTTTGTCCATGTTTTTAAACAAATTCATCCCATCCTTGTCCTACCAGCGGACAGATTTTCCAATCTGAGTCGATCGCGAATTTGGAAAACCAATGGCGCTGACCCTGAGGTGACCTGAACCCTATCCTAGCATGGTCACGTGGCGTTCATCTTTCTAATTGCTCGTCATGTGCTTGGACTACTTGTCGCTATGGCTTGTCTGTACTTCTTTTTTCTTCTCGTATCATCTTTTTGATCGGTTTTTCATTTCTTTCCTGTATTTTTTTTCCCTCTCGCACACAAAAGATTTCCTGCATCATAGATGAAGCCTGGGTGTATTAAGTTCTTATAGTTGTGTCTGTGTGTGTGTGTATACACGTATATCGGCCACCCTGATAGCAGCATCCATGCTATCTCGTGGACACGAGAGCCGCAAGCGCTTTTGGTGTGCAAGTTTCTCTGTGTACAATGGCGCTATCTCTGCCTGGACATGGTCACGGAGGACTCGCTAAACCCTGGACAGTCTGACTGTCTGTGCAATGTTGTAGCTAACTGAACTTCACCCAACTAACCGCATTTGTATATATCATCACTGTCGCAAGCAATCCAGTTAAGTCTCAATTCTGAACACTTTCGGTTTTTACATCCTCCCAAAGCTCAATCAAAGATAAACATTTCAACGTAATCACCAAAATTCAGTTTAATACTGTGGATAATGCTAACTATTTTCTTGCTTGTCATGATTCCTTTTAGGAACAACATGACAAAAACTATTTTTTTGTTGTCTTTGGTGTAAAAAGTACCCAAACGGATATAAATGGATTGCTTGCGACACTGACGATATATTTTATCTCCTTGCGCATCTTCTGGAACAAGTCTTATGGTTAACGTGGTTATTTTATTTTCAGGAAGCCATGTGAACATTTCTTGTCTTTTCATCAACTTTTCACTAAGATGGAAAGGTAGACAGAGACTGACCGACCGACTGACCGACCGACCGACCGACCGACTGACTGACCGACAGACAGACAGACAGACAGACAGACAGACAGACAGACAGATAATACTAATACAAATATGGGGTTGTTTGATTAAATGTGTTTACATGTCTACTCCCTCTCGACCTGGTTAGTCATGAGAGGCCAAAGTTGAAGCAGCCCACCTCCTGAATGATCTAAATTCTATTGATGAGGGCGTAAAACACCATGAACAGAGACATGTTTTTTTAATGACAGAGGTGTTGATGGGAGCTCTTTTGCTTTATTCTTCTTGAAGCTGCGGTAAATTCTCGCCTGATGACACGTACGTGAGCTCAGTGAGTGTAGAGGCGGCTCTTCTGCTTGACTACGTCCCTCACCCCCAAACATCCTTTCTTCCTTGCTGATGTATTAATTTTAGACTAAGAGCATCTTGCAGCCTTACTCATTACTCAACAAAGTCATTATGATTATAACCTCGTGCCTGAACAGACCAGACGGTCTTTGTGTTATAAGATGTGTATCAGACAGATGAACAAGTAAAAGTCTAGTTGAGCCCCCTCTTCAGAACTTCCTAGTAATCTGGGGTCTCCAATCTTCAGAACTTACTAGTGCATCTGAGCCCCCTCTTCAGAGTTTACTAGTGCATCTGAGCCCTCTCTTCAGAACTTACTAGTTCATCTGAGCCCTCTCTTCAGAACTTACTGGTATATCTGAGCATTCTCTTCAGAATTGTCCAGTGCATCTGGGGTGTACACTCTCTGTGAGGGCCTTATACAGATCGCTCTGACATCATGCAAAAAAAAGATGTTTTTAATTCATGTTAAAGAGGGGGGGGGGGGGGGGGGGCTCAACGAGACCGTTACCGATAAATCATGTACACTTTATGCGACTTGAGAAGTGGGGAAAAGTACTGTAATGTTATGGTTCGCGTGTTTGAGCCTCAGCTTGGTCTGACGTTGTGTCCTCGGGAAAGGCACTTCACACGAATTTCCTGTTTGGCTCGCCCCTTTCGGGGATGGACGTTAAACGCGGAGGTGCCGCTTCTTGAATGACAGTATAGTGTTGATAGGGGTTTTAAACCCATTCCATTTTACTATTTTTTTTCACTGGGTTTTAGGGGTCCACAGAGGTTTCTCAAAGAGAAGGAGAAGAAAAAAATGGGGATTATATTTTCTTTCGGTTTACTTCTGCTTCCGGATTAACCGTGTTCTGTTTAATTGGACTCCACTGTACATGCAGCTCTTTCGGGGTGTAGTGTAGGTGTTGAATAATAACACAGTACAGTACTTACCTACTTATGTCTAATCTTTTGACTTCAACAAAGTCGTATGAAGTGTGCACTCAATCTAAAAGGCGTGCCAAATGGTACAGACAGATATCTGTGCAGACAGACAATATTCTCCAATCAGGCAGGTATAACTTTCAGAAAGTTGTCAGCAGACTAACTTACTGGACAGACGTATTATGCTTGATTAAATCAGAGGTCGTCGGCAGACTGTTCAACTGTACATTTGAACAGCTGTCTGGCGAGATGTATGCAATGTATACTAACATGCATTCTCTTCCCAGTGTATGGCTGAAGCTGCATAAGCTGCATGAACTCCATACGATCTTGTGCAATGACTTATTACATACATACGCCCTATCTGACTGCCACATATTGCAAAATATTGGAACTCACTGGTAAAGCCCATATTAACGTATTGGTGCGACTCGCTGTTTAGCTCTTAAGAACGTATCGGAACAACTCAGCTCATTACGAACGTGAACTCGCTGTTTAGCTCATTATAAGAACGTATCGGAACAACTCAGCTCATTACGAACGTGAACTCGCTGTTTAGCTCATTATAAGAAAGTACTGGAACACCTCGCTGTTTAGCTCATTACAGACATGAACTCGCTGTTTAGCTCATGGCAAACCTATTGGTAAAACTCGCTGTTTAGCACATGACAAACATATTGGTAAAACTCGCTGTTTAGCTCATGGCAAACCTATTGGTAAAACTCGCTGTTTAGCGCATGGCTAACATATTGGTACAACTCGCTGTTTAGCTCACTGAGAACGCATTGGTACAACTCAGTGTTTAGTTCATTACAGACGTGAACTCATCGTTTAGCTCATGACAAAAGTATTGGTAAAACTCACCTTTGAGTTCATGGCAAACGTATTGGTACAACTCGCTGTTTAGCTCATTAAGAACGTATTTGTACAATTCGGTGTTTAGTTCATTACAGACGTGAACTCACTGTTTAGTAGCTCTTGACAAAAGTATTGGTACAATTCGCTGTTTACCTCATTAAGAACGTATTGGTACGGTTCAGAATTCAGCTCATTAAGAACAAGTCACTGAAGGAACTCACTGTTCAGCTAATTACGGACTTATCACTGATACAATATGTACCGGCTGCTGTAGTGTAGCGGTTAGGCGCTTCGTTGTCGCACGCAGGAGACCTGGGTTCGATTCCCGAGTGGGGAGGATATTTTTTTTTCTCCGAGTAAAAAACACCTACATTAAAAGAAAAGAAGATACAAAACATTATTGAAATGCCCCGTAAAAGAATCCGCAGAGATATAGATCTGCAATTCGTTCTCCTACCTGTTACTTGGTTATATTTTGATGTCATTTCCTCGCGAGCTTCAAGGAAGATTTATTCTTTATATATTTTACTTGCTAATCATGTGGATGGTTGGTGGGTGCTCTGGTGCGGTCTGCTTCTTCTTCTTTCCTATCAAACGTCTATCGTCTTTATCTCTCCTCCTTCCTATTTTGTGTTTGTTACTGTCTTGTAAAACCTGTAGTCTTCGGCTTTTATTTGACTTTATTAGCGGGCGGTTGGAGGGCGCCACTGGTAGGT